ATAACGACTGCGACTCCCAGCACACGGTTTCATTTTTGTTCACTTGATGGATCAGTTCATCCAAATTACAAATAGGTATGTCGCACTCACAGAAGGGAGTCATGCAGCTGCACACTTGAACTGTTTTGAGAAATCTGAGTCCTCACCCTGTGCCAGCCTTCAAAGGAAAAGCTCCTATTGGAAAATGTTTACATTAAGATTAAAGAAGATTACGTGGAATTGAAGGTGCAGTGCTTGGACCCACGTCTATAGGGTACAGACTGAAACCTACACAGGGGGATGCTTCAAAAAGCATGCAAAGCACCGCATAGAACCAATACGCAACCACCAGTCCAGTCGATATATTCTATAACCAGGACACTGCTACTGGAAATAAACTCCAAATAAACCACATCTACTTACATCACGAGATAAACTGGAAAATGTTTTGTGTGTGATCTATAGAGATCCATACATGCTTAATCAACTTACATCAGTGAGAGCAGTGAAGACATCGCTGATCTTTCTCACGGGGTGGTACGTGAATGTGATGAAGGGGAAGTCGGTGGCGAAGGGGTTCCACCTGGAGGTAAAGGAAGGCTCTCTCAGCCGGTCCCAGAAGACTCGCACCCCTTCTCCGTTTCTCCTGAAAACGCACCAAAACGCAAAACATGAAAAAGTGTTCTCCTCTGCCAGTGACAACCGACTGAACCTTCATCAGATGAGTGATAAAAGGGCTGCGTTCAAACAAACAAGTCCTTGTGTTATTTTGCGCTGGGAGCCATGCTTCGCTGCCTCACTGCACAAACAGAGACAGATACCATAGATGCTTACAGGTGACAATTACAGGTGACACTTAAAAAACACTGACTCATTTTTTTGCTTACAGGTTTTAACTGAGGTAAATAGTGTTAAAGTTCCTAATCAAGCCAAATGAACATTAACTGCATTCGGGCTGGGTAATACTGAATCGTGTCAGCCGTAGTGGTGTTTTTACTCAGCAATCGGTGGACCAGAACCCTCAGTCACACTTTCTCGATTACTCTTTTTCATAGGCACACAGCCCGAGGACAAAGTGAGAGAGA